TGGCTTCCTCGCTGGCTGGCTAGCAGGCTTACTTACTTGCTAGCTTGCTGGCTGGCTGGCTGGCTGGCTTCCTTGCTGGCTGGCTTCCTTGCTGGCTGGCTTCCTTACAGATAGCTAGCTGGCTGGCTGGCTAGCTGGCTGCCTGGCTGGCTCTAAGCACTTAAACAGAAATATTGATATACTGAAAAAAATTACACACGCTCTCGGTGTATGCCTAGTGCGTAAACCCCGATACAACAATGCAAAATGGGTTTTGGCGACAACTCACCTATAGGCTGCCGTATTCTTCTGCGTATGTTGCAGCAATTGTCCTCAGCCCTCATCGAAAATGGCACTACTTCGAAGTTGCGTGGGCGGACCATCTGGAGTGGGTTGAAAGGGTTGAAAGTAGCAAGGCTGCCGTAGAAGCCCTCGGGAAGACTCGCTACGGGCCCGTCACCAAGCCGGCTTATTATAGTGCAAGCTCATGCGCTGGTGGACCAGCCGCCAGTAAAGAATTCGTTCCTCGCTTGGGAGGACGAGCGGGACCTTGACCTTCCCACCCAATTTGATGAGTACCAACACTGAGCAGGGCCGGCAGAAATCCACTAAGCCTCACAGCGAGCTCGCCAGCAATGAACTCGGCGGCGACGCTGGTGATGAGGATCGTCTTTCTTACTACTTAGCCACCATAATATTCAAAGAAAGGACTCGGAATTTTAAACTATTACTTCGACAATTCTTCACAGAGAATTTTGCAGGAGGTGATGAAAATAAAATTACAGATTAGTTAAAAGCAAGAGATTCGGACCATATTCTCAAGTAACTCTGTTTGTTTGTTTTCACCTGAGCCCTAGAGACTAGGCACTGAGCAGAGAGTCGCCTCATGGGAGGGTGGTGTTATGTTATGTTATGTTATTATTTAACGTCTATGTGGTAGCTCTGTCATGGGAGGGTGAGAGTGTTCGAAATCGGGCTCCTAATCCCAGAGAAGCTAGATTCTTGTCATCTTGCCACCATTCTCGATACGGTTAGTTTCCTGTCATCTGCAGACGAGTATAGTATACTTAGATTCCCACTGAACTGGATCAGAGCTGCGATGCACATGAGCTGAACTCCGTGCTGCATGATGCCTTGGCTGTCGCGGGAGCGGCACAACTGCTAATTTTTTGGGGGCGTCGCTAATCCAGCTCAAGCCTTTTGATTCATGCCTGGCATGTCCGACGGTGAAGAAGACAGCTGCGTTGAGCCCGAGACATGCCTCGCAAAACATGCGTCGCGATGTATTTCCGTGCAGTCACACACTGTATAGGATGCAGCCCCACGTCAGGTCCTGCATGTTCTCCGCTCACCAGCTCGGACAAAAGGCCCAGATGCCGACCGGCGACACGTCAAAATGCAGAAATGTCGAAGCAGATTATGTCTCTAGGCGGCGATAGAGTGGCGCAGATGTTTTGGAACCAGGGAGCAGACAGGCACACCACAGAGGATTTTCAGTCGATGGTAAGGACAACCAGCCAGCCGTATATAAGAGTAAAGCGAAGAGGGAATGTTGCGAGAATAATATGCGGCGACTTTCAAGTACACGGCTGCTCCGTCCCGAGAGAGGCTTCATCTACAAGTATGAGGCAGTTTTGCCAGGCTATACTAGACATGGTGGAGGTGGGCGACTTGCGTGAGATTGAGTCTTTGGCTGATCGCTTGCGCCCGTACAGGGTCGAGACATACAACACGGCGGCATCCAAACTGAAGCTCGTCTTGGAAGATGATCTGCCAAACAGGTAACGTGTTTCGCAAGCCCTGGTAGCCGTTGCTAACGCTTGATAGAAACCTCGCTTCGGCGCGACTGGTCTCTCCCCTACCAAACCCCCCAAGAGCGTGCTTGGACGGCTTCTTGGACAAGGCTACAGGTGGAAATGCAGCGGCTGCCCAGACTGACAATGGGTGGTCTGAGTGGCTTCTCACGCCGACTTCGCTTCTAAGCCCGACAACCGAGGACTACAGGCTTACTGATAGCGACATTTCAAGTCTACTTAGTGGTGATGATGCGGACATGTACGGCTTCTCGGTGGGTTATCGCTACACGCCTCAACGATGATGACAAGTTTAGACGCGTTGTTGACATCTAGTACTGTAGCTAAACGGCAGCGCTGCCACTGGACTGGGAATCAACCTAGGCGATGATAGCATTGATCCAAGCGTACTTTCACTTACAACTAACCCGACAATGTCTGTCCATGGCTCAAGCACCCCTCCGCCCTCATCCCATGCGAGCCGGGCGACCCGGAGCGCCCCGTTCATTGGTCTGAGTGCCTCGCCCCGGAGCTTGCTGCACCCGGCCGAGGTTGAACGGTATATCCGGAGCGACTGCGCCAGCTACCTTCAGAACAACGCAGAGCGCTGGCTCAAGAACGGCCTCTGGTACCAGACCGAGTTCCCCAACCCGAAGGGCGCCGACCCGAGCTGCGAGGGCCTGCGCTTCGTGTACAGTTGCATCTGCCGGCTGGAGATGCGCATCGAAGACGACGCCATCAGGAACAGGATGGCCATTATTGTCCTGCACGAGTGGTACGACAGAAACGTGCAAGAGGCGGCGGCGGCCTACCAGCGGACGGGGCAGACGAGCCGCGGTAGAGGCTACGTCTCGGTCCTGGTCGACAAGATCCTCGCCCAGGTCCACGGCCATGACTGGGAAACGGCCAGCCTGCGTCGCAGAAAGGAGCTCCGGGCCAAGTTTCACGATCGCAAGCGCTACGGGAAGAGGTGGTGGACTCTTTCACAGGCGGCAGGGCAGGGCATCCTGTTCTTATGCACGCAGCAGCTCGTTGCCATTGTGTAAGTTGCTAAACACATGAATTCAGCTAATGCTGATCTATTTCTTCGCTTTCAAATTTCTAGAAAGAATACTAGAGTTTCCTGCGAGAATCTCCGAATACTGGGAGAGATGCTGTCCCACGCGCATACGGACACGGCCAAGGTTCTGCAGGCCTTTAATCGGACGGCTGAGTCTCTGATCCAAGGTGGTCACGGAGTTGACCACGACAATGATTTGCACCCACAGCTTGAGAATATTGCTTAACAGACTGACAATGGGCGCATATGAGTTTCCGTACCAAGAGCTACTGACGAATACATGTGTTAATATTAAAGTCACACGTTGTAGCGAAGCTTGTCCATTTGAATGCAGATCAGAGAGTGGTGAACGCAGCTGGGCAGCCGGACACTCTCCTCCGGCCGCCACAGGGTTCAAAACTGTCAGGATATTAGCAGCAAGCTAGAAGAAGGAGAGTAGAGAGATAGTAGAGATATTATAGCATAATAGCTAATAGTTCCTAATATAACTTTATTAATTACTAAAGAAGGAAAGTCCTCCCTTAGTAGCTTTTTACTATACTATTACTCTTTTATAGCTACTTATTTATATATAACTATATATAGATTATAATAAGTTATTTCTTTTTTTTATTTTTTCTTTATAATAGTAAAAGCTTTTTTATTTTTTTAAAATATAGTTTTTATTTTTTATTAAAAGTATAATCTTTATAAAAGTAATTAATATTAATCTTAAATAGAATATTAAATAGGAGTTTATATAGGTTTATAGTATTTTTATTTAATTTATATAACTATTTAATAAACTATACTTAAATATAAAATAACTTTATAATTAAAAAATAATTTTTTATTTTCTTTATAGTAATTATTATTTTATTATTATTATTATAACCTTTATTTAATAAAGTCTTTTTTTTCTTTTTTTAATTTTTATTAATTTTTATAAGTTATTTTTTTTAATCTTTTTATAACTTTTATATTATATTTTTATTATTATTCTAAATATATTAATATTAACTATATATTTTAAAAACTAATTTTAAACTTTATATATTTTTTATAAGTTTTTATTTCTTTTTTATTAGTTTTATATAAAGGTTAGGTTAGATTAGGTAGAAAAGTAGGGAAAGAAAAAGGTAGGTTATATTACTTATTAAGATTAAAGCTTATCCCCTTTTTCCTTCTAGGAAATATCCCCTTTATTTTATAATAACTAAAAGGAGGATAACCTATTCTTTTAATTAAAGTTTAAATACTATTTAAATACTAATTAAAACTTATATAAGTTAGTCTTATTCCTATAGGTCTACTTAAGGTTTTAATTTAAACTTAACTTATATATAGATTTTACTAATCTTATAACTAATTCTTCCTTAGGCTAACTCTAAGTATCCTTTTACCTTATAGCTAATTAGTTATTTTATATAATTTATACTTACTATAGATCCTTAACTATTATATATTTAATACTAGTAGTATTAACTTTACTAATAGTATATAGTCCTTTAATTACTAAGGTTCTTTATAATTATAAATATTAAATTAGATTTAATTTAAATTATATATATTAAGGTATTATAATTACCTCCCCTTTTAAAAGGTACTTCTTTAAGTACTATATTTTAACCCCTATATTATTCTTTACTATTATAAATAGGATATATACCCTAAATAATAAGTTATTTTATAAATATAATATAATTAATTTATATAAGTATTATAGTTATTAGCTAATAACTATTAACTAATAAATAATTAATAGAATAATATAAAAGTTCTTTAATTTATCTTTAAAATAAGTTCTTTTATATTATCTTTTTATAACTTTTTATTTATACCTTTTTTTAGCCTTATATTCTTTAGATTATTATATTAACTCTTTATAATAAGTAGACTTATAATAAGGTATTCTTAAATTAAGCTACTTCTTTAGTTATTATTATTAAATAGTAATAATACTTACTTATTCTTCTTAATTTCTTAATAAGCCTTTATTAAACCTTATAAAGCCTTTATATTAAAACTATAATTATATTAACTACTTTATCTAGCTAAATAGTATATTAATCTATATTCCCTTTACCTCTAGGTTATATTAATACTATAATTACTTTTTTAATATAGGTATTTTCTTTATTATTTAATTTTATATTACTTTAATTTAAAGATCTTATAAACTATTTTAACTAGTTAAATACTAATTAATAAAGCCTATATCCCTAGTTTTATACTTAGATTATAGTTTAATCTTTATTTAGTTTAGCTTTATAAATCTTATTAATACCTTATTTTTTTAGCCTAATAACTTTACTAATATACTATAAGTATATTTTATATAAAAATATCTTAACTTTTAGTCTATACTATTAACCTTAAGCTTAACCTTTAGAATAAGTATAGTTTAAATAGTAGCTTATTAACTTAAATAAGATAAAAAGGTACTTTAGCTTTAAAATAAGGCTATATATATTAAAGAGTAAAATAATATTACTAAATCCTTTACCTTCTTTATATATACCCTTAGAATAGGCTATATTTTATATTCTAATATTTAAAGAGGCTATTATTATTAAGGTATTTAAGGCTTTATCTTAACTTATAGTTAAACTATTAATTATTTTAGCCTAAATATCTTTTTATAAGCCTTAATACTTAAGCCTTTATTAATTTATCTTATTATTCTTTTTAGTAAAGAAGATCTTATAGTTATTAAACTATATTAAATCTTCTTTAATAATTATAACTTTATTTAGTACTTATAGCTACTATATCCTATTATTTTTATTACTCTTATTATTAAAATTAAAGATTTAAATATAAATACTAAATAAGATATTACTAAAGATAATAATAATAATAATAATAATTATATTAATATTTATAACTAATCTTTTAAAAAAGAATAAATAGATAATATAGATAAAAAGAGTAATACCTTTAATTCCCTTAATAAGATAATTAATATTACTTACTATACTTATATAATTAATACTTTCTATATATATTATATTCTTTACTTCTTTATAGCTTATTAATATAAGCTTAAATTAGAATTTCTTCTTATATAATACTTTTTTATAAGATACTTTTAGTCTTTAATAGAAATATCTTAATATATATACTATTATAAAATATATATTAGTTATTAACCTATATATTAATAGTTTAATATTTAAATCTATTTTATAGTTAATATTTTCTTTTTTTAATAGAATCCTTATAATATATTAACTAATTATACTTAGTTTATCTATTTTTTAGACCTTAGTTAGTCTTAATATAAAGTAAGAAATAATAATAATAAATATATTCTTTATTAAGAAGTATATTAAGATTTAGCTTAACTTAGCTTTAATTTAACCTTAACTTTTAATATAGTTAAAAATTAGGATAATATTACTTATAATTTAACTATAATTAAGAAGTTTTTATAAGTATATATTCTTTTCTTATTTATAGTCTTTTTAAACTTATAACTAACTTCTCTCTTTCTTTAGATAGGATTCTTATATTAAATATAATAATCTAATAAATATATATAATATAATTATAGTTTAAATTAATAGTAAGATCCTTTTATTAGGATTAACCTTAATAGATAATAGCTATAATCTTTAGCTTAATATTAAAGTATCTTTTTAAACCTAATACTTATATATCTTATCTTATTCTTTTCCCTTATAAGCTATAGAATTTAAAGTAAGTATATTTAGTATTTATAATATTCCCTTATAATAAGTAGGATATAATTTAAGACTTCTATTTATTCTTTTTTTTTTATTATTTTATTATATAATTAATATTATTTTATAAAAGTCTTTTATCCTTTTAATAGTTATTAATATAACCTTTTCTTTAAATATCCTCTTCCTTTAGGTATATTCTTAAGATTATTTTAAGTCTTATATTCTTTAATACTTACCTATATATTAGCTATATTTTCTTTTTATATTTATTTATTATATTTAGTAGGCTATTCTTTTTATTTAACTAGGAATAATTAGATTTTTCTTTATTTATAACTATTTATAATATTCTTTATTTCCTACTTATCTTTAAGATCTTTAAAGTCTAATATTAATAGTAATTTAATATTACCTCCTTTTTAAGGCTTTAATAAGTTAATATAGAATATATTATATAAATATTTATATTATTTAAATATTATAAGCTAGTATATTTATAAACCTATCTTATTTAGTATATATAGTAGTTTAATCTAGTATAAGGTTAGCTTTTTTTAAGTAGCTTTAACTTAAAAGTTCTTTATAAAGAGTATAACTAAATTTCCCTTTTTAAGTTCTAATAACTAATACTTTATATTATAATATTAGTTCTAGTATATTATTATTATTTCTTAATATTAAGTTATTTTATTTTATACTTTTTATAGTTTTTAGATCTAGGTTCTAAGTTCTAGTAGTCTCTCTTTAAGTAAGTTAACCTTAACTTATATATATATCTTAAAATAAAAACCTATAAGTAAAAAAACTAAACTATTCCTAATTATAGTATTTATTATATTATTATATATATATTAAACTATATATAATAGCCTTAGTTAATTATATTATATTTTTATTAAAAAGTAATATAAATAGTATTTTAATATCTAATTTATTTATTCTATTTATCTATTTATCTAAGGATAAAAAGTAGTAAATAATTATTAATAAATATATATTATATAGTATAATTCTACCTAGAAGTTACTAGTAAATAGTATACTATAATTTAAGATAATACTATCTAGAGTACTAAATATTAATTCTACCTATATATAGAATAAATCTACTAGGTTAATAGCCTTTATTATATAAAAGACTATAAAGAAGAGTAAATACTTTATATAATAGTTAATAATAATAAGAATAAAATCCTTCTCCTTATTCTTAAAATAAACTAGTAATAAGCTAATAATAAAATCTATACTTAGCTCTACTTATAATTAACTTAGTATTAATAATAATATAAATATACTATATAGCTTATATTATTTTATTATTACTAGCTAATAAGTAATATATATAGTAATATAGTTTCTTATATTATAATTTATATACTTTTAATAAAAGTTTTATTAAAGAATATTATTTATTTAATTTATACTAAAATATCCTATAAATAGATTATTATAGTATAATTATAATAGCCTATTAATAAGTTCTATATTCTTAAGAATATAAATCCTACTTTTATAGTATAATAGTAAATTACTTTTAACTTATTAGCTTTTTCCTTACT